CAGACAATCCCCAGATTCAGCAGATCTGGACAAAGAAACAATAGAGAACGTTCCATGGGAGCGGCGCTGCTCTGAATCCAAAGACCGACGCGCCAGCCTCCCGTTTAAAAAGAACCAGCCTTCACATCCCAACGCAAACGTTTTAATATCAGCCGTTTTCCCCACCTGTCAGAAAATAAGAGCGATCTACAATCGCCATTAGCTGGCCTCAAGTCTCGTGAAGACTCTCATCGGCGTCTCCTTCAGATGAACGTTCGTTAATCAATCAGCATGGCTGTCAGCCAGAGTGCCTCCTGATTACCGCGGCTCGGCAGCGGCGCGGTTAAAAGTCTGAGCCGTGTGCAAATTGTGTTTTCATTCACTGAAGCTTCATTCTGTTAAAAGATAAACGGACTCGACGGCTGCTGAGAGAATGATGGCCGCCTAAAGGGTTAAACAGACCGGAGAACAAACTCCTTCACGGGAATTCTCTATTGTTGTCCATAAGAACAATATTCAAGGAAGGGGAACATCGTGTTTACTATACAAGAGGTGGAACGTGTCCTGAACAGCCTCAGTTTGGAGAAATAATGTCTATGCCCTAAAGAATTTGTACGTCTTGAGCCTCCAACCGCTTTGTGAGTTTCCTGTGAACAGCTGCCAACGTTTCCCTGGATTGTAATTATGGCAGAACCATTAAGAAGTCAGATTTGAGCCACGATTCCACAGGAAGTGACGACGCCGCTGCTGGCACTTCCTCTTTCAGTCGCGACACAAAGTAAAACTGACGCCATTAGTTCATCGTTCACACCGAGGGGAGTCAGGAAGCCGTCTACTAAAGTTACGATGATGTTTCTTAACCCTCCCACTGTCCTAATGGGCGTGACCCCGCGAGGAAAGTTGACCCCTGAGTAGGGTTGATGGTAGCAGGGGTGAGGAGTGAGCACCACCTCACCCCTGCTACCATCAACCCTGCTCAGTGGTCAACTTTCCTCGCGGGGTCACCCGTAAAGACCGTGGGAGGGTTAAAGTTGTCTCCACTGCACAAAAGTCCTTTATTTCCCACAGAGCGGCTGCACGGAGAACACCTACTTGTTGCAGTGGTGCTTCAGGTGCTTCTTGTAGCCGTCGTCCTGCAGCATGTGCTCGGGGTTATGCTTCCGGAGCCACTCGGCCTTGTGGATGTCAAAAGAACTAGACTGGGTCTTCATCTTCTTTCCCTTCCTGCCTCGAGGGACTGGAGCCGACAAGCCTAGAAAACAAAAAACAGGTCAAATTTCACTCAGCTGTGCTTTACGGTGTCGGTACAAGATCTGCTCGGGTGCAAATTCGGCTCGGGGTCCGTCGACTGCCGATGACGTTAAAGTAGTTGATTGGCTGAACATGAACCTTACGGAATTACGTAATCACGTTACGTTGTTATCACGTTACGTTGGTATCACGTTACGTTGGTCCAGGCAAATCTTTGTGTTGGAAAGACGGACAACTTTTACAAAGAAATCCATCATTACCTCTTTGAAAATACACTTTTAGCATAGAGCTGCATGTATATTAGGGCTGAACGATTAACTGCATGTGCAATTAAATTGCGATGTCACAAAAGGAGATTTTCTAATTGCAACGGCTGCAATTTGGCAGCGAGTGGTTAGCGCAATGCTAATATACATGGAAAAACCCATAGGAATGCTAATGCTAATATCGCAGATTACATTATTACAAATTATGAATTAGAAACGTGCCAAATGATTACATTTGGAGTCTAATAGAAAGTAAAACTACCATCAATCATATAAGTACAGACAGGTATTTTAGTAAAGCCAGAAAACCTTTAACTCCAGAGTTTTGGCTAGCAGCTATGAGCGTAAATGAACTACGCATGGACAAGACGTCAAAAACTCAACACAAATACTTCAATAAACGGGACACACTTCTTTCCTGCAAATACGATTCCACAGGTGTTGCTAATACCTATGATCCTTCAAGGGATGTGCTCAAAGAGGAGTTCAACATTATGAATAAAATATAGTGTTTTATTTTACAAATACCATTATAAACACAAACTTACGTCTTAAGAAACATTATTTTAATAACGAAACTGCTAAATTCTTTCCAACAGTTTAGATGTGTAGTGTATTTTGTGCGAGTGGGTTTGCCGTACTTTGACATCATCGGCAGTCGAAGGACCCCGAGCCGATCCTGTACCGACACCGGCACTTTGTTGCTTTCCTATAATCTGCTAGTGCAGCACTGAACTCTTACCCAGGTGATTCTGCAGCTCCTTGGTGCGTCCGTCCTCTGTTGGAGCGATGAGGTCCCACATGAAGCTCTTGATTTTGTCATCGCCACGGTAATGGACCAGGCAGTAGGCCAGCAGGGCCCTGCAGATGGACTCTACATCCCACTCCGTTAGCTGCTTCTTGAAGCGGCCGTGGTTGAGAATATCCTTCCAGCGGCCCCATCTGCAAAAGCAAAAGGCCTCCGTTGAATCGCTCAGATTGGAAATGGCAGCCATTTTCTGACGAGTGGATCGCCGTACCCATAAACCAGGAGGTTCTTCTCCACCCTGAAGCACTCGGTGCGACCGTAGTTGTTCAGGCGTTCGTTTCGCCTGAGCTTCGGCTTGGTTTCATCGTTCTCGCTTTCACCCTCTGAGAGTTCGGCTAACTCGTCCTTGGTGGCGCTGAAGGGCCGGGTCTGCTTCCGTACACGGGGAGTGTCGATCACCAGGCTGTTCTGCAGAGTCGGGAGACGAGGGCGTGTAAGACTTCAGACAGAACTCCGCAGCGGATCAACCGTGGTGCAATACTCACTCTGCCGTTGACCATTTCCATATCGATGTCAGCCTTTTTGGCCCACTTGTCCCAGAAGTTGGGGTCATCCAGAGAGATGTCTGTGCGGTTTCCGGATGCAACAAAACTGGCCTGAAAGCAGAAAGAATCGTTTGAAAATAAAATCAAAACCTGGCAAAACAACGCGGGTCGCTAGCGAGTCGCACGAATTATAAAAAAGTTCACCTTGGCAAAAGTGGATCCTCGTCCCTCGGATTCGATGGTGATGGTCTTCGTTCTGCGCTGCAGGATCTGGTCGATGTCCTCCTCACAGAATTTGGCCCCTTCGTCCTCCTCGTCCATGATGGCCCCGTAGGCGCCGCGTCGGAGCAGGTCCTCCACCTCCTTCTTGGACAGCTGCTGCTGCGCAGCCTGAAACACAAACCTCAGCTTCAGTTTTCAAAACCTAGAACAGCCCACGACTCTAAATGTGTGAGCAGGTTCCTGCGTGACTAGTGCTAAGCAGCTAAATGCACACGCTGGGAATCCTGATGCGGTGAGATCAGCAGGCCTGTATCCAACCTCAGCAGCTGCTGGTTCAGTCAGAGCAGAAGCGGAAAACGGCTCCTTACAGTTCAGATTATTCCCCGGGGGACGTAGACTCCACACACCGCCTCTCCAACAGACTAGACTGACAGGACGGGTTACACACTCAGAAAACGTGAGCGCTGCCTTTCGTATTTCTGGTTAGAACCAGGCAGAGGTGGAAAGAGTCCTAACATTTCCTACTTAAGTACGAGTACCAATACTTTGATAATTTTTTACTCAAGTACAAGTAAAAAGCATCATAAACAAAATGTACTCAAAGTAAAAGTTACTTAGTTACATTGTTGTCAGCGTAAGGATGGCTACATCTAAGTAGTGCTAAATCACAACGCCAGTTCACAATTCGCTCACACAGACACAGACACACACACACACACACACACACACACACACACACACACACACACACACACACACACACACACACACACAGACACAGACACACACAGACACACACAGACACACACACACACACACACACACACACACACACACAGACACACACACACACACAGACACACACAGACACAGACACACACACACACACACACACACACACACAGACACACACAGACACAGACACAGACACACACAGACACAGACACACACACACACACACACACACACACACAGACACACACACAGACACACACACACACAGACACACAGACACACAGACACACACACAGACACACACACACACAGACACACACACAGACACACACACACACACACACACACACACACACACACGTCATGACTAATTTAGCTACACTGAACTGCTTTAGTAATAATTGAATCTCTTATTCTGGAGTAAAATAAAGAAACAAGCTAAATCATCACATATCTGTGGCATCAAGGAGCATCTTCTGAGTTCAAACACAGGGATGGAGCACAACGTTTACACCTGAACAGTATCAGGATGTTTTAACTCACGGAGGCCTGCAGGTCTTCTGTTTTATGAGCAGAGCGCTGAGAATCCGCTTGTTATGAGCGCTAAACGTTATTTTGCTGCTTCCGTGCGGAGCGGTAGGGAAACACAATTCAAACACGGAACCGAGTCCGGCTACCGAACCGAGCAGAATTCTGATGACGTCACACCGGTGCACAAAGGTTCGGTTCCAACCCACAGGAGAGGAGGGAGAGAGGAGGTAACAGGGTGGATCACAGGGACTGAACTGATGTTTTGAAGCAGAAGTGTACCCCCACACCCCCCACGGTTTAGACGTGGCGCTCATGCAGGCGTCTCTTCCTGTTCCGATGCTGCTACACGCGATATTTTAACCCTTACCTCACATTAAAGCATTTTTTTGTGCTCAAACGACTTTAACGTTAGAAAATTTAAACATTGGGTAAGGTTTAATTTATGAAGCCTATAATTTATTTTTACTCAGTAACGGATATGATTTAAAATGTAGCGAATTACAATTCTTTTTTAAAAACTTACTCGAGTAAAAGTAAAAGTACAGATTTTAAAAACGACTTCAAAAGTATAAATACACAAAAAAACTACTCAATTACAGTAACGTGAGTAAATGTAATTAGTTACTTTCCACCTCTGGAACCCGGACATGATGAGCCTTTTGCTGTTGCGTCATTTAAAACTTAAAAAAAATCTATTTTAACTTTTGGAAGTATTTGCAGGACGCCCTTCTGGACTGCGTGTGCCGTTCTCAGGACTCACCCCTCCCCCGGTGCCCCCTCCCAGGCTGTTGTCGCGACCGCTCATGCTCTGCAGCACAGCCTTGTCCAGGCCCAGCTTGAGGCTGGCGCGGTCGAACATCTCCCGCTCGTACGAGTTCCTGGTGATGAGGCGGTACACCTTCACCGCCTTGTCCTGACCGATCCGATGGCAGCGAGCCTGAGCCTGTTGGGTAAATGCAGAATTAGCAAAGCGTACCAAATTTGATCGTATTCAGGAACATTTTCTTCCGCGTTTGCAGTTTTTGTGCTCTTTTGCACACGATGCTAACGATCACAAAAGCAGGATTTGACTTTAAACGACGACTTGGGTTCTACCTGCAGGTCGTTCTGCGGGTTCCAGTCAGAGTCGAAGATGATGCAGGTGTCTGCAGCGGTCAGGTTGATTCCCAGGCCGCCGGCTCGCGTGCACAGCAGGAACACAAAGCGGTCCGAGTCGGGTTTACTGAAGCGGTCTATTGCAGCCTGTCTCAGGTTCCCGCGAACACGTCCATCAATACGCTCGTACAAGTACCTAGAAACCCAAACACACACACACACACACACACCGTGATGGATGCTGCCCTTGACCCTTCAGCTTCTTCTTCCAACCTTTCGATAAACAAACCATCTATTTTAAACTCGGCAAACCTTTTCAACTTTTACTTTCCTCCCCTTCTCAACCCGAGAAGCACCTGCAACTGCTGAGGTCCGTTCCCACCGCCTCCCATCCCCCACCCTCCCTGGAGGAAACCATTTCCACTCCAGAGGAACCTCACAGCCTCTCCGGCTCGTCTGATGTGGTGCAGCCCCGAGGGCTTCTGTAACCCGCTGCTGAACCCTGTCTGAGGTCGCTGCCGTTCAGCTCCTCACATGGTTTCAACTATTTCAGCTCTGCTCCGGATTCTGGCAGGGAGCCAGGAGAGAGAGAGCGAAAGGAAGACACAAAGGCACAAAACCCGTCCAGAACGTCCCAAAGAGGGAGGTGGAGTGACGGGGAAGAACATTTAAACCAAGACCAAAAATCAGAGCCATCATTTAAATTCTGAAACCAAACTGAATTTTTAGGCTGTGATTGGATTTTTGAGCTTTACCAGAAACATCACACGCCCACACGTAAACACGAGATTATAATTCTTTAAAGTGGGCCTTGATTTGTTCACGGCAGCTTTAGCGCTTCGCTGTAAACTCAGATCATCGTCAGTCATCATTAGAAGCTGCTGAGCTCAACCCCCCCCCCCCCCCGAGGAGAGAAACGCTTTCCTCCCAAACGGGGACCAACCCGAAGATGAAAACGCTAAAACCGTCTCCTAAATGAAAACTAAACCCAGGACTTGTTTTATACTCTCTACCGCGTTGGAGCTCTGCTCCTGCAAACCAAACCCATCTGACTGGTTTCACCTTTTCTGAATCAGGTAGTCTTCCAGGATATCCAGACAGCGCACCATTTGGGAGAAGATGAGGACCTTGTGGCCTCCTGCCTTCATCTTCGGCAGCAGTTTATCGATAAGCACCAACTTCCCGGCGGACTGCACCATCGCCTGCAGGTGGAAGTCAACAGCAGCAGGACTGTGGACTTCCCTGAAATCCTCCAGAATCTTCTCTTCTGCCCCTGATTCAGCAGACGTTAAAACATCAGCAATCCTCTTATTTTACGTCGTTTTCACTTCATTTTCTGTCTGAAGTCAGTCAAAAGGACTCCGACCCAGCTGGTCACCAGCTCACCTTTGATGAGGTAGGGATGGTTGCAGCACTTCCTCAGCTCCATCATGGTGTTGACCAGGTTGGGCATATTGGACTGACCGGCTCCTTTAGCCAAGAAGGAGAAGTTCTTCTCGAGGATGGCGCGGTAGTATTTCTTCTGGATGTTGGTGAGCTCAACCTCGATGATGGTTTCCTCCTTAGGAGCCAGCTTCTTCTCCACGTCCTCCTTCAGACGCCGCAGCATCATAGGCTTCAGGATGGCCTGAAGTTTCTGGACCTGCGGGTCAAACATCGAATATTTGAACGTTCAGAACTTTAACTGCCGGGTCGAGAGGTGTGATGTTTAGTTCTGCAGAAACTAAAATATTTAAAGTCATTTGCAGAAGAGACGCAGGGAAAGCAGCTAGTTTGGTTCTGGGAGGATCTAAGAGCTCACCTGCTCTTCTGTCTTGAGGTCTCCAAACTCCTGCATGAAGTTGTTTTCCGAGGGGAAGCGCGCCGGCTCCAGGAAGTGGAGGAGGCTGAAAAGTTCCTCCACCGTGTTCTGAAGAGGGGTGCCCGTCAGCAGAACTTTGTGCTCCTTAAACGGGACAAAAGCTCAAACTTTAGATCAAAATAATTGCTAAAATCTTAAAACCACTTGTTCGTTTAGCGCCGCGTCACGGCTCGATGATTCCCACACCAGGTTCATGAGCTTGAAGCCCTCCAGCAGCTTGCAGTTCTTGTTCTTGAGCCGATGCGCCTCGTCTATGATGGTGCAGCGCCATTCGATGGCGTTGAGCTCGGGGCAGCCGCCCAGGATCATCTCAAACGTGGTGATAACGGCCTGGAACTTGTAGGCGCCACGAATCACACGACCCTGAAGCCAGGAACAAAAACATACAACCATTCAGTGCTCCAGATAACAAGCGGAGGTCCTGGAAGCAAGTTTAAAAAGAAAGAAAGAAAACGATCTTTTATTTAGCGCCTCAAGATAAAATAACAAGGTGCTTCACAAAAACAAAAAAAAATAAAAACAATTCTAAAAATGATTAAAAATATGTTTAAAATGAGAAAAAAATTTGGGATTAAAAATGTCAGGAAAAGGAGAGAAAATGAACAGGAAAGAGGGAAGTTGGTGGATCCGGGAAAGGCGGAGTAAGGAGAGGGTGATGAAGGTCACACCAAAGCCTGAACGGGTGAGTTTAAAGGAGACCACTGAGTCCACTGATCTCAGGCTCGGGGGGAGAGAGGTCCAGAGTCTGGGGGCCACAGCAGCAGATGATCTGTCACCTTTGACCTTTAGCCTGGTGCTGCACAACCAGTAGGCTTTGGTCACTGGACCTCAGGGACCTGCTGGGGGTGTAGGGACTAAGAAGATCACCAATGTAAGATGGTGCTTGTCCATGTAAGGCCCTATAGACCAGAACCAGGATCTTGAAATGAACCCTGAAGTTGACTGGCAGCCAGTGAAGCTGGAGGAGAAGCGGGGTGATGTGGGTGTGTTTGGAGGACTTGGTCAGAAGCCGAGCACAGGCGTTCTGAACCACCTGTAGACGGTTCAGGGAGGTTCTGCTCAGACACGTGAAAAGAGAGTTACAGTAGTCTAAGCGTGAGGAGATGAAGGTGTGGAGAACTGTCTCAAGTTCAGAGCGGGACAGAATGGGACTCAGCTTAGCAACGTTCCTGAGATGGAAGAAGGAAGAGCGAACAAGAGAACTGACATGAGAATCCAGGGTGAGAGCTGGGTCAAAGGTCACGCCAAGATTCCTGACAGAAGGTTTGGTGTGAGAAGCAAGCTGACCAAGAGAGTCTCTGACTTCATGTTAAAAACACAAGAAACTGTTAATCAGGTCTGTGGCTGACGCATCAGCACCTGAGGACTCGGCGCTTTTTTATTAAGGCAAACAAAGATTCTCATATCCTACAAAGATTTACAAAACCTGTACGTAAATAATTTTTAACCAGTTTTAATCAAATATTATGTTTATTTTCACCTACTCAATGATAAATCAAACAAATCACAATGAAATTATTTTTTTCATTTTCATTAAGAAGAAAGAATCCCATTTCTGCAGCTGCAAGTACTGCGACTTTGGTCCTCATCTAAGAAGCTTTAGGTGCCACCGTTCTAAACCCAGCATCAGTAGCTGGACGTGCATCTCAGACCGTGACAACTGCACGAATAAAAGGCTGAATTTCTGTTGTTGCTCCTGGTTTTGGTGCCATCAGTGACCCTGGTGTGACTTCAGGTCCACAGATCGGACTCACGCTGCTTTCTGTTTGAGCACACTAATAATTAGCCGGCGTTTCGGACTGGCCAGAACAGATAGTGTCTATGGTGTAGTGGAAACATAAAGCAGGCCCCTGTTAGGCGGCGGTGTACAGCCGAGCCTTAATGCTGTTAGCCTGTCTGGGGAAGCTCTGCATCATCACGTCTCTCCATTTGTATCTATTGCCTTGACAACAGTCCTCGAGGGACACTCATTTATTCCGTGCTCCTCTTCTCCTCCTCCTGTGGTGAAGGAGCCACTCCTTCAGATGCACCCGAGCAGCGCTGACAGAGAGCTCTCCTCCGGGAGTTGTGTGACATCACAGGCTGCATCAGAGCCCGTCTGGTGGCGGCTGCGCTCCGTTCTCACCTTAATTCCTGCCACGGTTCGCCTGAACACTAAGAGCTGCTAACTGCCTGTTGCACGTCACAAGGTCTGCCAACCACAGAGCGCCTCTGTTCAAGGCTCACTAGCTGCCTCTCAAGCCCCCCCCCCCGCCTCACCATTTCAAACCATTAACGCATTAAAATGTTCTCCCTCCCATCGCAGCAAGCCGCCATCATCCTCACAGAAACACATTATATCATCTCAAATAAATAAACCAACGATCTGATCTTTACGTTTCCTTTTAATGCCGACCGTCTTTTGTCAGCGGCTTTTCTCGTAAAACACGCAGAGAAGCCGCAGGAATGAAAAGTGCACCGTGTGGTAGCGGTGTTCTGCCATCCAACTACTGTTGTATGCAAACCTCCTGAATCATATAACTACATTACTAAGTCTCACGTTGCTGACACACGGCTGCTGCTTTTAAAAAGCCCCGTGATTTTTTTAATCAAAAGTGAATCACTGCCTTTCAGCTTTGAAGGTAAGAACAGGAGCTGGGCCCAAAATGTACCGATTAGTTGTTTCACCACCAAACCGAACCATCTCCAAATCCTCCCAGACGGGTGAGGGCTCACGGACAACCCTAACAGGACAAGAAACGAGTCGCTGCTACTGGACTTGTAAGGAATAATATTTTTGTCCAGTATTGAGGATCTTTTTAATTAATGGTTTATTTTAGTATAGTTGGCTCATGTTAGAAAAAGAAAAGGGTGGCTTGCCAACTCCGGGTCGGGGGAGAGGTCCTACCTCAAGTGGAGGAGTTTAAGTATCTCGGGGTCTTGTTCACGAGTGAGGGTAGGAGGGATCGGGAGATCGACAGGCGGATTGGTTCTGCAGCGATGCGGACGCTGAGCCGATCGGTCGTGGTGAAGAGGGAGCTGAGCCAGAAAGCCAGGCTCTCGATTTACCGGTCGATCTACGTCCCAATCCTCACCTATGGTGATGAGCTTTGGGTAATGACCGAAAGAACGAGATCGCGGATACAAGCGGCCGAAATGAGTTTCCTCCGTAGGGTGGCCGGGCTCAGCCTTAGAGATAGGGTGAGGAGCTTGGACATTCGGGAGGGACTCGGAGTAGAACCGCTGCTCGTCCGGATCGAAAGGAGACAGTTGAGGTGGTTTGGGCATCTGGTCAGGATGCCTCCTGGACGCCTCCCTGGGGTGGTGTTTCGGGCATGTCCTGCCGGCAGGAGGCCACCGGGTTGACCCAGGACACGTTGGAGAGGTTACATCTCCTATCTGGTCCGGGAACGCCTTGGGGTCCTGCCGGTGGAGCTGGTGGAGGTGGCCGGGGAGAGGACGGTCTGGAGCTCCCTAGTTGGGATGCTGCCCCGCGACCCGGACCCGGATAAGAGGAGGAAGACGACGACGACGATGTTAGTGTTAGCTTGTTGTTAGCATTAGCTACAGCAGGCTGCAGAAGGGTTGTTTATGGCAGTTGCAGCGAGGCTCCTAACTGGAGCAAACAGAAGAGCACACATCACTCCTATCCTGATGTCTCTGCACTGGTTACCCGTTAACTTTATTATTCCAGCTCTTGGAGAGTACAGACGCTTTTTTCCTCCTCTCCTCCCTATCTTATCCCAAGGCACTTTGTCTGTCTTTGGGTGTACGGGTCTTCACGTTTTTTCTGGAAACTGGAAATTTTTTCTATGATGAGAACGGGAGAAGGGGCTCCTGGATGCCCCTCTGGGACAGAGCCAGTTGGGCATATCATGGACTCCTGGAAACAGTGGAACCTGATCTGCCTCTCTCAACTGTCTGTAGAGGATTCTGAAGACGTCTGGATATTCGTGGTGTTGGTGTCAGGTTTCGTGCTGTTTGGACTGAGCGGTTACCTGGCTTACCGGAAAATTTATGAGCATTCGAGGAATATTGACTCAATCCCGGAGCTCAGAGATGGGTTACACCGCGCTGTGAACGCACAAAGTCATATAATTGTCAAGATGAGTCGAAAGCTTGGAACTTTGGCTGAGATTCAGACTCTGGCACAGAAGGTGGATTTGATCAAGGAGAAAGTTGACGGATCAGCACGGATTGGGATAGATTAATGTACGCCATTATTGGATTCAGAGGGATGAGGACCAACAGAACTTTAAGACAGAGAGGAAATTATCTCTGTCTGACCCCAAAACAATTTCTTATCTGAATCTGGTGCCCTTGAGCCTGTGAGGCTGAAGTGAATCCAACCCCCCCCCCCCCCCCCCCCCCGAAGAAATGTGGAATGCTGCCGTCGCCATAGCAAATGTGTCTCTATCCCAGCCTAGGAGGGACTGCGACCGGTGAAGGCCGTTGAATCGTTCTAGGAGTCACTGTGCTTTCTAAACCCAACTACATCCCTCCCCTGTCCAAACGGAGGTGACGAGCGCTGCTTATCGCGGCTGCATGCACTGATGTGTGGAGAGTCCCCAACCCTACCACCCCACCTAGTGGACACTTATGTTGTGTAATGTCTTAAGTCTGTTGCATATCTGTCTGAGGCGTTTTTTTTGCATAGCAAAGCTGCCCTCCCTGTGGAGGGCAACTCTGAAGTGCCTTTTTTTCCTCCACCTGAACCAATCCTCATGTAACCCTCTGATCACTATTAAGGTAGCGCGACTCGGGTTGTGAATCACCACAGTCACCAATTCTTGTCATGTGTCTTGCCTATGTATGTATGTCTGATCTCTGAATTGTGTGCACTGAAACTCTAATTTCCCTCTGGGATTAATAAAGTATCTTTGAATTGAACTAAATAATAATAATAATAATACATCAAACTTATGTAGCACATTTTAGGCCACTCAAAGATGCTTTCATGCACTCTCACATTCACACACTGCTAGTGATGGTAAGCTACTTTGTAGCCACAGCTGGTGTGACAGAGGCGAGGCTGCTATTTGGTGCCGTCGGCCCCTCTGACCACCAACAACACAGGCAAGATGGGTGAAGTGTCTTGCCCAAGGACACAACAGCAGAATACCGCTGGCAGGAGCTGGAATTGAACCCATGACCCTCCGATCATGAAGCAACCCGCTCTACTGCCTTTAGAGTTAATTTTAGAATCCTGACTAGAACTTTCAGGGCTCTGCATGGTCAAGCTCCTCCCTATTTTACTGAACTGTCAAAGCCTTATGCTCCAACCCGAGCCCTCGGGTCCACACACCAGAACCTTCTAGAAGTTCCACAGACCACATTTAAAAGTGGAGGTGATCACTCCTTCCAGACTGTTGCACCGATCTTTATCCTTATGTAGCATTGACAGTCTGGACACTTTTAAAAAAGCTGCATTTACATAAATCTTTTGTTTTTTATTTCTAACTCAAATTTTTAATCTTTCAACTTTTTATCAAATTTTATAATTTTATGACTATTTTTTCTGATGTTAATCTGATTCTGGTTTGAGAACATTACTTTGTTTTATTTAGTTTTGATCTGAAGCCCTTTGTGATGCTACGTCTGTGACGAGTGCTATACGTAGAAATAAAATGTACTTACTTACTAGTTGTAATTCCACTTTCAACCAGTAGGGCGGAGAAGCAGGAAACTGTTTTGTGTTACTTTCATGCGTCACAATTCCAGAAGTTACACACACCTCCACCACGAGACCATTCTAACAGAAAATGTGTCGGACTAAAGTTCCAGCTACACCAGAGCAAAGCCCTGTGACCCAGGTGACTTTTTAACTCGTTCACTGCCACTGATGACTAAAGTCGTCATTTGCATGTTTTTACTGTGTGGGCGTCAGACGAGCCCCCGCACTGTGAGAACAAACATCTCAGCTCTAAAGCCGATCTTCATCCCCGTACGTCATGTGATCAGGAAGCAGAACATCCATGTGTCAGGAGATCGTTTTGGGCCGCTGCTGTAAAAAAAGTGAGGCGCGAACCGGAAAAGCTTCTGCCGATCACAATTCAACAACGGATTATGAAAGAACGGATAACGCTCGAAACGCGTGGATTCTTCCTGATGTAAGAGGAGAGTCTCCGCTTTGTTTTGGCGTCGACATCATGCTAGCACGCAACGTTCTGTCACTCTTAAAAAAACTGCAAAAACAGCGAGAAACGCTGGCAGCGAATGAGTTAATGTCCCCAAATTTATACACTGTCCTGCCAACAGGTTTCCCTTTACTACTAGCAAGAACGATTTCCTCGTGTGCAGATGGATGTCGTCTTTGCTGCGTGTCTAGCAGCTCCCCAAGATGCAGAAGATTTAGGAAATCAGCCTGCTGCACAGTTTTAGATCGTCCTTCTCCATCGCGTACATTTAAAAGCTTCCAGATGAGACATGATAACAGTCGGGTAAACTGGGAGGTGTGACCGCTTAATAGATAGATGTGCTTTAATGAAGCTGTCAGACATTTCAGTGATGGATGTGACTACCTGTGCATCCCTGAAGTACATCTCGTACTGCTGCAGCATCTGCCTGCTGACCATGCTTCCGTGGTAGACGATGACGTTGAGGTGGGTCCAAGTGTGGAACTCGCGCTCCCAGTTGGCGATGGTGGAGAGGGGGGCAATTATGAGGAAGGGCCCCTTGATGCCAACGCGCTGGATCTCCTCCAGGAATGTGATGGACTGGATTGTCTTTCCCAGGCCCATCTCGTCCGCCAGGATGCAGTTGCGCCTGACGGGCGTCAGAAGACAAACAGTTAGAAATGAAGCAGAGATGTAGCTTCTGTAGCGTTGCATGAGAAGAAAATGCTGAGGATTTATCATGAGAGCATCTGTTACACCAGAACCTTTACAAGAGGAAACAACAAATCCCCGTGACACTAAAAGAATAAACGGCAAACAATGGAAGAGAGAACATCCTCATCAGCAGTAATAACCCTCAGAAAAGATTTAACTCTGCTGCAAATCCATTTATTCAGCTGTCCAGTGGGTGGGCGTGTTACGTCTTGCTGCTAACTGCAACGTGCAGAAATTCCCACCGGCCTCTTAAGCAGCCCTCTACATTTGATGAATCTCTGTGCGTAGGCACACGCACACTCCTGCAGCCTCACACATAAGTAGACCAATTCCCCGGGTTAATGCGAGCATGCTGATGCTACTCCGGATGTTCTCTTCTTTAACGCAACGTGGGTGAAGAAACGAAACAGTGTTTGAGGTTTGTTTTCAAAGATTTTACTGAGACTGCTCACTTTCTCTCACTTTTGTATCACTACTAGTGATGTGTATTGGTGAAATTCTGGCAATACCATATGCATCACGATATGGGGGAGACAATACGATACACCACGATATATCGCGATACATTCAGCCAGACAACAGTAGTGATTTTTTTAGACTGAATTTATTGTAGGAAATTTCAATAAACTGCCCAAACTGATACTTAACATGTTTATCGTGATGTATCTGAACCATAATAAAGAGATTTACGTTTCAATAGTGGAAACAAAACCCATTGCACACTGCTGCCAAGTAGAAGTCGGTGTTTGAATTGCACCAAAGGAAATGAAAATACACAAAGGTTTGCACGTGAATTCTTCCCAAAATTCGACACACGGCTTTTGAATATCGATATAATCCATCCATCCATCTTCTGAACCCGCTTTGTCCATGTAGGGTCGCGCGGGGGGGGGGGGGGGGGGGGGGCTGGTGCCTATCTCCAGCGGTCAACGGGCAAGTAGGCGGGCTACACCCTGGACAGAGAGTAGGGCTGGGCGATATGGCAAAAATAGAATATCACGATTTTTCCAATATTTTATCACGATTTCGATTTTATCACGATTTTTTTATCCATGAATAGCATAACTTCAATTGCGTATTAAAGAAGAGCAACATTGAATAAATAAACATTTATTCATATTAGGGATAATCAGCACAGTGCTAACACACTTATATTTTAAACTCACACCAGAGATGATAAAAGCCCTGAGAGAAACAATTACAAAAATCAGTTTTTCTCGTTTTTCAAGTAACTTAACATAAATTAAAATCGTAAACATATTTAAAGTGCAAACATGTCAATTGCAAACGTATTGTGCAAACATTAACTTGTTCAAAATACTATGTAGCTCCCAGTTGCTCATGTAGTGGATAGTTAAGCTCAAATACGGCTCTGATGTGCGGCTGGACCAGAGATCGCTTGTGGTAGCAAATAACTGCGCATTCTGAATATTTTCTGCAACAAGTCTCTAAATAAAGTAAAATTTTCCAGTGCAGATTGGAGACAACCCATAGAAGCACTGATCTGATCTCATTTCAGAGAAAAATAGAACAGGTTAGATGCATCTAATAAATAAAATTACTAACAAACTCAGGAATGTTTCTTTGCTTCCCTGTTCTGGTGCTGAGAATATCACTAATGCGGATCAAAGGAGATACACAGATGAATGCACCTCTTATTTATTATTTGGAGACTACATTTACTGCAGCTGGCAGAGGCAGAGATTGTTTCTATTGATACACGGATTTACAGAATCATTTTAAATGTTAATAGGGGAAGACTGCAGGAGGGAGCGGTAAAATACAGCAAAAACAAGAAACTACGAGTCTGATGAAACCCGCTGGTTTTCCATCAGGCAGTCACGGGGCAGCTCCATCGATCCAGTGACCGAGCTCAGTCCGGTACCGACACCGGCTCGGCAGAGGGTGGACGAGTCGAGGCGATGTCGTGCTCTGCTTAAGAAGCGGTGTTATTTTCCTGCTTCAGAAGAAGCGTCCAACGTGTTTTTACGCTTTCTCCGAGACATGTCACGTCGCTAGGTTGTTAGCGCCGCGCGCTAAGGAAACCCTGCGTTCCTCTTCGGAACGAAAACCTCGTTGTCGCTCAGCCGCAGCGAAGCCATGTTTGTTCACACATAGCTGAAAACAAGCGGGGCACTAATATATTACTATGACTCACTCTGATTGGTTAAGGGTTAAACAAAGGCGTGTCAGTCGCCTGAGGTAAGTTCCCTTTTCATTCAGAGGCAGAAATTCAACAGCAGAGCTGTGAATCGTGATAAAACGGTCTCTCAAAAATGACAGACCGTCAGATGTGTAGATCGTAAAACGGTCTAAAATCGTCATATCGCCCAGCCCTAACAGAGAGCCAGTCCATCGCAGGGCAACACAGAGACACAGGACAAACACACACACACACACACACCTAAGGACAATTTAGACAGACCAGTCAACCTAACAGTCATGTTTTTGGACTGTGGGAGGAAGCCGGAGAACCCGAGAGAACCCACGCATGCACAGGGAGAACATGCTAACTCCATGCAGAAAGATCCCAGGCTGGGAAGCGAACCCAGGACCTTCTTGCTGCAAGGCAACAGCTCTAACCACTGCGCCACTGCGCAGCCCAATATCGATATAATATTGCAGGAAACAACATCACAATATATTGCCATATCGATATTTTCTTACATCCCTAATCACTACTATTGTGTCACACGAGCACAGAGTGTTCTAGATGAAACTGGATCATTTTGAGGGGAAATAAGAGGCTTTCCACTAACCTGTTATACCAGTTAAACAGAAGCCAGTTGACCCCCTCCAGCTGGTAATCCCTGAGGGTGTTGCTGTTCCGGTATTCCCTCGACTGATCCCTCTTCGTCCACATGTTGGCTGGAGGTCGCTCCTAAAGGGGCAAATTTTAAAGGGAGGTTTTAGTTTTGCTCTCAGGCTCATTAAGATTTGAAAAGTAAAAAAAAAAAAAAAAAAAAAAACATTCAAAGGAAGTAATTTCAACTAAAATCAGGATTAGAGAATGTTGCAGAACGAAATTCTGCTTTAACGTGTAAAATCTGTTCCTAAACAACGATAATTGTGATTATTTGGTGTGGTTGTTGCATTTCTGAGGTGTTTGAAGCCCTTTGAAAGCTTTGATGTACAAAACAATGAAGCTTTCAGATTTTCCTGTAGCTAAACTCAATGTTTGTGTTTGTATACGACGATCAGGGGCCTTTACCTTCACTTCATTCCTCTCATGTTTTAGGCAAAAGGAAAAAAAATCTACACAGAAATACAATCTTCTGTTCAGCAGTTACTCCAGTCCAACGTAGAGACGGATTACTGAATTTTATGCACATTCTAGTGAAAAATGAAGCCATTTACCACCAACTCTGCCACTGAAATGAGAGGAAGTTGTGCACAGTGTATTTATAACGTGCATATCTAAAAACTGGGTTGAAACAAGCAGCTCGAGTTATTATTAGTTTTATTCTGCTACACAAAACCCGTGCACATAAAACCAAAGAGAAAACCAGTATTTTCCCCTTTCCATTAAATATCAGCATTAATGGTGTCATTTGGTGGGATTTTTGCTGGATTCCTGGAAGGAATGGAAGATCATATGCCTCAGCCAGCTGTCCATCGAGGATGTCGAAGACGTGTCGATATTTGGTCTGATGATCACTGGATTTCTCCTGATTGGAGTGGGAGGATATCTGGTTTTCTGGAAATTTGGGAAGACGGGAGCGATCTGAGGGCGACCCGCACCCACAGAAAGCACCGTCCATGTGGAGATTTCTCAGACTGGGACGTTACTCGAGGTGAATCGTCAGCTGGACAATGTTCTAGTTGCAATATTAGTGCTGTGGTATTAGTGCGCAAAATGGATGTCATCTCGGAGAGAGTCACCGGACGGTATGGACAGGTTTAAAAACCCAAAATTGGCTTCACTGAAGGACTGGAAATGATCAGTTTAAAGACTGAAGGCAGAGAGGAAAATTATCTCAGCCTGACCCAAACCGTTTCTTGTTATCCGAATCTGACGCCTTGGTAGCCTTGAGCGGCAACAAACCCCTACGAAGGAATGCAGACAGATGCTGTGAAAACCCGACCTACACCCCCCTGCCTGCATTCAGATTGGTGGACTTCAGCCTGGCGAGGTCATCAACCTGCAGGAGTCAATGGTGCCCTTCGCTTCTCCCAAGATCTCCCTCCCACCTGTGACTGCACAGCAGATGAGCGCCGTAGATGGCTGCTCTCGCTGGGGGAAACAGGATCCCAGGCCCCCCCCCCCCCTCTTCCTATTGGAGTCTCATGTTATGTTGTGTTGTCTGAAGTCTGTTGCATATTTGTTGAGGTGTTTTTTTTTTTTTTGCAGAATAAAGCTGCCCTCCTGGTGGGAGAGAAACTCTGAGGTGCCTTTTTCCCTCCACCTGAACCAATCCTCATGTAACCCTCTTATCTCTATTAAGGTAGCGCGACTCGGGTTGCGAATGAGCACAGTCACCAATTCTTGTCATGTGTCTATGTATGTATGTCTGATCTCTGAATTGTGTGTACTGAAACTCTAATTTCTCATTTTAGGATTAATAAAGTATTGATTGATTGATTATTTAGTATCCGTTTACTTATGCAAAGATAACGCGTGCACTGATAAGATTCTAAAAACCTTTCTGAGAGCGGTAAAAACCCAAAGATGACTTTAAAACAACACAACATCCAAAAACCACAGCGAGGAGCTGAAGGTGCTCGGTGTGACTTACCACCCTGCGCGAGTCTGGCTTCACTGCCTGCAGCTGCTCAAACTCCTCTATCTTGCTCTGATCGACGTCGTCCTTCAACTCCCAGGTGCTGTCCTCGTATGGCAGCGAGCACCACTTCACCAGGTAGTACACCACTTCCTGCAGCCGGCAGAGATGAATGAGCGCTGGAAAAGACTGCGGCGAGGCCACGCTTTGCTTCTATCAAAGGCTGAATGCCAGCCTGCTAAAGTGGCCTTGAGTATTTCTAGGATTCAAAGATAGCATTAGCATGAAGAACACTATGAAAGGAACAAAGAGAAGGAAAGTTAAGCTCGGGAACAGCAGACGGGCGGATGTGTGGCGAAAGAAGAGATACTTCACCTCTCCTGTGTCTTTTTCCTCACAATAGGATACCTCTAGAACCCTGTCCACCTCTACGTAGTCCGGGTTAAACGGCTCCTCTTCCATCTGAAAGGAACCAAGACACAGAGCCAGTCAGAGAATAAGAGAGTAAACCTGTTCCCACACACCATCTGGGATGAAGGATGTATCTGCTTAACGCACACAGATGTGGCAGCCCACCCCAATCACACAGGGAAGTGCTAAACTGCCTTTTACATGAGCTAACCATACTGGATATACCAGACATGCACACACACACGCACGCACACACACACGCACGCACGCATGCACACGCACACACACACACGCTCAGTCAGCCTTACATCTGTGAAGAAGAGTGCCCTCTGTGCCTGTTTCATCTTGAAGCGTTTGATCTTCTGCTGAATCCTCTTGTCCTTCTCAAGGTGCTGCTCTGTGGCCCACTCGCAGTGAAGGTAGGAACTGAAACGAACACACACACACACACACACACACACACACACACACACACACACACACACACACACACACACACACACACACACACACACACACACACACACACACACACACACACACACACACACACACACACGGTTGAAACCCTGCTTCAGTAAAGCAGTAATTCATTCACAAACACGCTGTGTAAGCCGGGCGTACGCTGTGCGACTTTTTCACTTTTTTGAGACGATTTTCCACTCGTGCGAGAATCCACGAGATCGGGGCGAGTTTAGCGCTGAGCGTCGTGTAGTGTACAGGGGGTTACGAGGGGCGATTAACACCACGTGACCAGCTGCCGATCAGCAATCGTGAGCTCGCAGACTTCTGGCGTGTTTGATATTTTGCTCGTCCCTCGTGAGGGTATCGCACTGTTGAAGCGGCGCTGCGAGCAGCTGCGACCCAAAAAGAACCGCTCATGGCGCATGCGCAATCCTGCATCAACTCCGCTCACCCGCTATTTCCCTAATAACACACGCTGTTCGTTTTTATTTCTACACGTTTTTTACTCACAAAGATTGTCAAGAAAGCGTGTTTGTCGTGTTCATGTCAAATTAAACTGATCACAAAACACAGATTTACTCTCTTTATTTCGTTTTCCTCATCCAACCCCCATAAATCCCTGTGTGTCCTCCTGCAGCACTCCCGAAGGACAACAGGCAAGACAAGACAAAAAAGTCTGACGTGTTGAGTAAAAACTGCTATTTTTAGCATATTTTTAGGTCCGACGTGTAGCTACCAGACGTACAGTGAGCACATGACTCGTGAGATCTACCCTGCGAGGAAGTCGTGCAGTTTGAGCTGAAGCTGAGTGCTACGAATGAAAAAGTCGCACAGTGTCCGCCCGCTGTGCGACTGTAATTAAGCTGGGCGGACACTGATCTCAGACGCAATCTCAGTCGTATTTAAATGTAAAATACAACCTCGGCGACATTTTCAGGTCGGAGGCTGCAAACATTTAATTCCTAATTTATCCGTCACATGAAACAAACGCTTGCTGTGCTCCGGCTCTTAAATCGCCTCCACTGCTGAACTGAGAGGGAGACCTGATGTGGAAGCTGAACACATCACACCTGTGGTTCCTGTTGGTTTGCCCAATTAGACATTTTAATCATCATGTGTTCATGAAGGCTTTACGACTTCGCTTCACTGTCATAAGGATCCGGAACATCAATAATAAGCTCACTGGTTCATATTTAAATGATTTATTTTAAACTTACTAATTTTTGTATTTTACAAAGAACTCCTCCACTTCGACCATCACCCCCGGAGACGCCTAAAGACAAATCAAACGCAGGATTACATCAGTTAAACATTAACGTGATAAAAACATTCCAGAACAGGAATTAAACCTCAGGGCTAGTGGAACATGTCTGCATTAACATTTCTAACAAAACAGAAGAAAAAATAACGTACCTCTTTCTTTACGATGCGGGAAGACATGATTTTGTCGACAACAGCTGCATCTTCCTCAGTCGGATTCTCCTAAATGTCAAACAGACGTGAAACGTCATGAAATATCAATGTAATTCGATGCTTTCTTGAGACAAACGTGTTAAAAGAATGTAGAATGAGAAAAGCGTGCACGCTTCCTGTCAGACGGATTCATTTCACAGCTCTGCGCCAAATCCAGAAAACCGTAAAAGGAGAATTCCTCACAACAAACAGCTGAACAGCAGGGTCCTTGGATGCTCCTGTGTTGGATTTCTTGGCTTTGACGATGACCTTGACGTCGTCGTCCGACAGCCTGGCCTCCAGCTCTTCAGCGTACTTCTTCCTCTTCACCTGACGGTTGGAGCGCCTCTTCTGGAGAACGCCGAGCAGCAGGGGGCATGATTACATGCAAGTACAAGTAAAAACAAACACACGTGTAGCTTGATACACAGCTTGCTACAGGAGCAAACGCATCATTCGTTCAGATTGGTATTTATTACCATTTATTACTGTTATTTTAGCCATTTTGTAAGTTACTCAACAGATTAGCCAAAACTGTTCTGTGTTAAACTATAAAAATAAAATAAATGGTACAAGTTTTGATTCATTCGAGTCACATTCTGTGCTGCAAACACGCTTTTATTCTGAAATGTCTTCCAATAAATGCACACTTCCACCCAACCTGAAGAATAAAGTTGGACGCATCTTTGAGTCAGAACGAGGGCTAAACACTCCGGCTCGTCACACGCAATAATCCTGACCTCCACGTGCTTTGTGCTGCAGCGTCCAGCGTCTCTGGACATCTGTGCTTCTGTAGCTCTTCGCTGCATTTATATCATTTTTGTCTGGACGTGTATTTTCATGCATTCAATGAGTCAAACTGAAAAAAAGTTAGATATGTGTCTTCAGGTGTTTGAATGCTACAAGAGTATGACTAATCTTAAATGGGCCTTGCTGTAAATTTGATTCTTGTCTGAGGAAAGTCGTGTTTGTCTCATAAGACGTTTCAGTCGCCACTACGCAGCACACCTCCACCAGCGTTTCTGACCTCAGCTGGCATTCATGTTAGATAAAGACAATTTTAATGAAACACAAACCAGTGAGTCGTGGAGGATGGCTGCTTATACTTAGCCAGGATCCTCTGGAGGTTTCTTCCTGTTAAAAGGGAGTTTTTCTCTCCACTGTCGCTAAATGCTTGCTTAGTATGAGGATTGCTGTAAAGACTCTGACACTAGTCAGTGACTTGATGCAACCTGCTGGGTTACTTATAGGGAGCCTAACCCCTTCTTTCCACAGGAGCCGTCAGCAGCACGTTACTGCAGCAGCACGTCTTGCTCGCGTAAGCTGCTGCTTGGCCCTTCCCACGAGACGCGAAGCAGCAGGGGAGCAGCTGTCACCGACCGAGCACGAAGTCACACGAGTGACTTCGTCAGTAAACACAACAACAAGCAGGAGAAAACTACAACATGGCTCCAAAAGGTTTGTGTTTTATGTTCTGTCCGTTTTATAATCGCCAATACGGACCTGAAAAACAAAGGAGACCGCTAGCTAGGTGATAACTTCTCACGGGGCCGCACAGTTAGTAACTTTTCTTAAAAGTAAAGCAACCGGAAGGCAGTACGTTTCTTTATTCTGAAAATCTCGGGAGCTTCTCTCCATTTCCGCGTCCGATTTCCTGTCTTTCCTTCCCAAAAATGTCGAACTTGACCCGTTTCAGAGGCGTCGCGCGTAGAAAATAGAACCGGCGCGTAAAGGCCGCGACATGCTGCTCCTGAGACGCGGCCAACTCGTGCTGCTGACGGCTCCAGTGGAAAAGGTTCTGTTGACCACAGCGGTTCCTATCAGCAGCTATGACGTGCTGCTGCAGTAACGTGCTGCTGACGGCTCCGGTGGAAAGAAGGGGTAAGTCTCCTCCCTTTCCGGTCAGCTCATGGGTCCCCAGAAGAACGAAAAAATGAACGCAAGTCAACGGGGCTAAAAGGCTATTTTCTAACCCGCTTTGCCTTAGGCCCTGGATCACACACATGTTGTACTGCTAATTAAATGAAAAGTAGTTGTTTCGACTACGCCAGTCACGTACTTTGAGATTTATTAGCTTGTAAAAGTTTGTAATTAGCATGACTACACACCAGAAATCGGCACGTCGCATACGTGATGTCACCACATAATCTCCTCCCCCCTAGCGTAGCTGCTACTCACCACATGGCCAGATTCATGGTGGCTCTTTCTTCCTGTGGGAAGTTCGCTGAACTTACAGCCCTTTTCTCTCAGTTTTCTCCGTGTCTGGTTCGATGACGTCACTTTCGTGAAGCGCTCTGTAGTCCTGGACTTATTTTCACACAAAACCTTAAATAGCGTTTCCCCGTTTGAAAATAAGTGCGTTCCTGGCATCAAAATGCGTTTTTAAAATTCACCGACATCATTTGAGAAATCCACGGCAAAAAACAAGCGGAGTTAGAAAATAGCGTTTTTAGCCCAGATGACTTGCATTCACTTGTTCGTCCTTCCGGGGACCCGTGGTGCGGAAGTGACTTAAGCTCCGTATTTAGGAAACTTTTTACTGATTATTGGAATGTTTACTGTGAAGCGCCTTGAGACGACTCTTGTTGTGATTCAGCGCTTCAGAAATAAACTCATATCTCATAGCAGAAATGGTGTTTACAGCTGCAGAAGACCTGAGCTGAAGCTAAACTGTCGCTATGACGATGTAAAGAAAGCGGAAAAACATGAAACATCCCAAACATAATGAAGCTTAGAGCTCCAAAGTCTCAACAGAAACTAGAAAAACTCAAATGACAGAAGGTAAGGATGAACCAGAAGCATCTCCACACGACTCACAACACACAAATAACAATAAACAGTGCTGAAAACCCACAACAAACATCAGGGTCTGGTGTCAGAAAAAATAAAGAAACCAGAGAAAAACAGTAAGCCCAGCCTCCGTCCGCTCCTTCCTGTCAAGTCTTTCTAATCATCAGAAGCGTGGGCTGCTGTATCCTGCATCAATACCAGCTCCTCCTAATGATAATATGTAGTTAATTAGGAATAAATGCCACTGAGCCAGAGTTAATTGGGTGTGCAGCAAAACATCCCCGAGGAGATACACCCTCACACCCACGAACCCGAGCTGACCAGAAGCCGGAGAGTCTAAACCGTCACGCGTGGCGACATCAGGAGGCCGAGCCCCGAGGCGAGCATGCTTCCGTTCCAGCTGCAGGCCACGCTACCTCCACTTCTATCACAGGACCCTCCTAAGTGAGTCATCAACCGACGCTTTTAATTAAAGCCAGGGGCGCCGTTTAAAGAGGGTAATTATATCGCAGGGGATGGTCCGGATAGGACTCAGGAAAAGGAGAGGTGGCGGAGCGTGGGAGGCGTCTTCTCCGTGTTACGTGTCTGTCGCAACTCAGCAGCAAGTCAGACATCAGAACACAATCTACTTTAAACCCTTAAGGGATGACATGTGACGCAGCAGGGCTGTTTTTTCGCCATCGACAAGGAACTTGAGCCAACCACCCACCAGATGACCTCCACGCGACCCAGACTCCATCCTTTCAGGCTCGAGCTAAAGCCGTGAGCCTTCCCGTCTGCTCAGCGGCGTGAGCGTAGAGGGCGAGGACGCCACTTCACTCCCTCATCATAATCACAGCAGCACCAGAGGAGGAGTCGACTCCATCTTTGCCGTCTCTGAGCTGAGGTGCGACGCCACATTAAAGACGTCAACGCGACGTGAATCACTTGAGAGTTTGAGGTTCTGCCGAGACCACAGCCAGACTCGGCCACACGTGACCGGTGACTTGTGTTTTTATTCTCAAACTCACCGAGTCGTCATCCTTAAATGTGTGACGAAGGGGAGTGTCACCATCCGACTCCTCCTCTGAAGACTCCGGCTTCCGTTTTTTCTTTTTTCCAAACTTGATGACGATTTTCCTGCAGGAGAGAAAAACAACAGCATGTGATGAAGATCAGAGCACAAAAAGCAGCTTTTAAATTCAGAACAACACGTTTTTAAAGAACTGTCACACAAATTCAGACAACCTGAAACCAAACAGACTGACTGGAGACTAAATCTGACATTTTGATTGTAAACAAGTGAAGAAGGCAAAAAGAAGAGAATTTTTGTTCTAATGGTTGAAATCTCACTATAACCCGAGCTGAGCTCCTAAACAGAAGTTAGAGCAGCGGCTCATCATATTAACTCATTCACTGCCAATGACGACTGAAGTCGTCATTTGCATTTTTTTTTACTATTTGAGCATCGGAACGAGCCCCCGCGCTGAGAGAACAAACATCTCAGCCCTGACGCCGATCTTCATCCACATACGTCACAGATCACATGATCAGGAAGCAGACCATCCATGTGTTAGGAGATCGTTTTGGGCCGTTCCTGTAAAAAAAGTGAGGTGCGAACCGGAAAAGCTTCTGCCGATCACAATTCGACAACGGATTATGAAAGAACGGATAACGCTCGAAACACGCGGCTTCTTCCTGATGTAAGAGGTGAGTCTCCGCTTTGTTCTTGGCGTTGACGTCATGCTAGCGCGCAACGTTCTGTCACTCTTAAATAAACTGTAAAAACGGTGAGAAACGCTGGCAGCAAATGAGTTAATAACACTGAAGGGACTTTACGGAGTTTTGAATTTTTATGCTCGTGATTGCCCCCTCAGGCCAAAAGCGTAACGGCAGCTTCAATAGTAGGCTCGTGCACGAGGCGCGCATGCTGTACGTGCACACTCCTTAACGAAAATAACAGCTGAGACAGTCCCGTGTGTGTGTGTGTGTGTGTGTGTGTGGTGTGTGTGGTGTGTGTGGTGTGTGTGGTGTGTGTGTGTGTGTGTGTGTGTGTGTGTGTGGTGTGTGGTGTGTGGTGTGTGTGTGTGTGTGTGTGTGTGTGTCCCGGAGGACAGGAGAACACGCAGCTAATTAATTAAATAATTTGGTTCTGTACCTTTCTCTTCAGCACAGCCGACAAAGGTTTATGATGGGTCAGTCCTCCTGCATGCTCAGATCATTCCCTTCCCTTGCTTGAAAAATTGTTCCAAAATGAAAGTTGAACCCACATCTTTTTTATCTGTGAATTCAATGCCGTTCGGCAAGTCTCAAATAAAAATTTGGGCATCTTACTGTAAAAAAATATACCATTAATGTAAAAAAGAAACTCTAAATAAACAATGTTCACATCCAGAATCAAACCAGGGTCTTTTGCACGAGAGTCGGACGTCATTCTAGGTGAGTTAAATCACCAATGGCATCTATCGCATCTGTAACATTTATATCCTTGATGACAGCTGAAACAACGTTCAAAGAACGGTTCGGAGTGAAAATGGCTATTTTGTTGCTAATTTGCAGGAAATATCTAGAAGAAAGTTCTACAGAAAGTAGCTAAGGGTCCTCAGAAATGTAGCTAGCTTTGTCACTAGGCGTTAAGAACAGCGACAAAGTGGCACTGCCTCTCTCTCTGCTGCTAAAGCTACGGATAGCAAATGCTACGGGCGATGCCTGAGCGTGAACGCGCATGAAGCAGCCTGCTCGACCCGAGCATCTCTCTTTTTCTGTGATTTTACAGAAAAACAGGCAATCACAGTAAAAATGCCAGGGCTCATTCTACAGGACCAGGGCATTGCAGGAGAATGTATGAAGAAGACATTTATTATTTCTATACATGTTTTGGCTGTCAAACTTCCACAATGCCCCTTTAAAAATAATGTTTATAAATGTTTATGTTCAGACATTAAAATTGCTCATCGGGTGGACCTAAAACTGCACGCGCAAAAGACCGTACAGAACTTTAAGAGGGATGCATAAACATCCAGATCAGTGACATTGTCTGACTGCAGACTTACGTGGACTCAGAGCTTTTTACGAGATGGAGTAAAACTGTAAGAAATGCAGCTGAGCCACGTTGTCCCAAAGGTGTCAGACAGGTTGAATTCATGCTTTAGCTTCTGCAAATGCTTATAGGGCCGCTTGTCTATTTTTAATTTCCTCCAGAAACATGTAGAGAATAAAGACAGAGCCTCGTGGGCATTGCTGTGGCTCCCATGTGACACTTTTCTAACTCTGTGCTGCAGTTTGCACATGGTGTTTAATCCAGAACATTGCATCTGCTAGTTAGTCACATGGCAGAGGGGTCGTCTCCACATGAAACGCTGTTTTAACCCAAAAAGTCTGAACAAAGTCACTGCTGCACATTTTTTCTGATATTTACTGTGAGGAGAAGCTCTGGTTTCACAAACCAGTTCAAAATGGTCTTTAAACATCTGCATCGTCGTCATCAACGTCTGGAATCCATTAAGAACCAATCCTCACACTTTTCCTGATAAAATAAAGGTGTGCTTCAAACAAATTAACAAATAAGAAGACATGTGTGCAAAAGGTACATCTGCATGACTCTCCCAAGCGAAACGGTCAAATTAAAATTTTCTTGAAAATATTTCCCAAGTACGAGGTCAAATGGTCATATTTTTAAGTCTACAGCTGTTCGCCAGCTGCTGCAACCTAGTCGAACTCAGATTTACAAACCAGTGACCTAAAAGTCTGGAAGTGAACAAAGAATCACAATCGCACGCGGACTAAGAGCTCTGTAGAGTGTCAGAGTCACTTCCTGTGACGGTTACTAACATGTAAGGTTACATTAAAAGCTGCTTTGGTTAAATGAAGACAAGTACACAGAGGTCCAATCATAATACTCGCACTTCCACACTCGTGTCCTTCAACTGCACGATCCCGACCAGGGATCACTCCCTTTTTGCACCCTTGATCCGCACTGGGTATTACCCACAATCCATTGCTGCAGGAAAAATGGTGCCTTTTCTGGAAATACGTATTTTCTAATGAAAGTAGTTCGTTTTAGGACAATTAGTTGATGCTCTGAAACTTTTGCACAAAGCAGCAATGAATGGATTTCAAATAATTGTTTGTTTGAAAGTTGTTAAAGGTGTTTTAAAAAGTATCAAGCATGCGTTGTGGTCGATGACGCAATGCTCCCCGTCTCAATACTGAAATTATTTACACACTTGCGTACCACACTTGGAGCCTTACTGTGCACTTTCTCCACGTGCACTTTGCTGCAGACCGCAGGGCGAGCATTGGGATTGGGCCGTAGACCTGCTGGCTCCCAAAGTTAAATATGAAAATAGTCAGGCTTTAAAGGTATTAAACACTTGTTTAATCATTACATTTGCAGTGGTCTCTAGTAGCTATGAAAGTCATTCTCGGGGTGGAAAAAGCTCAGATGCACTTGAATCAGGAGGAACAAGTCAGCTGGAGGAGAAAGTCACTCCAGACGGCAGGATTTGGAATCTTATTTCCTGATAATCCAACATCTCTCCTCTGATTGGCCAACAGCAACACGACTCAACCACTGACTCTGCCCTGCGACGTTGATGTTTTATCTCCACAAACAACACAAGCCTGGAGGAGTTCTGCTGTGTGGTGGAGTTGCTAATGCTAACAGTTAGCTTCTTCTACCTGAGACGTTCTCTGCTGTTTCCTGGACGATAAACCAACAACAGCCTTCCCCGTCGTGAGCCAAGATGGGCGAGTCCATGAATGTTAGTGACAGTGTGACGCAGGGCTGGGCGATATGACGATTTTAGACCGTTTTACGATCTACACATCTGACGGTCTGTCATTTTTGAGACCTTTTTATCACGATTCACAGCTCTGCTGTTGAAATTCTGCCTCTGAATGAAAAGGGAACTTACCCCAGGCGAATGACACACCTTTGTTTGACCCTTAACCAATCAGAGTGAGTCACGGTAATATATTAGTGCCCCGCTTGTTTTCACCTGTGTGTGAACAAACATGGCTTCGGCCACGGCTGAGAGCGACAACGAGGTTTTCGTTCCGAAGAGGAACGCCTCATCCGTTATATGGAACTGGTTTGGTTTTTCACCAGATGACAAAGAGCAGGGACACGTCATTTGCAAAGTTTGCAAGGAGAGCGTCAAGGCAAGTGATGGCAACACCACAAACTTGTTTAATCACTTGAAAAGAAGGCATCCCAAACAATTACAACGAGAGCCAGCTGGCAGCTAAAGCTTGAGGCTAGCGCTTCTTCCAGGCAGCAAAGGCTAACAGAAACACTCACAAAACTCACTCCCTACGACAGAGACAGCAGACGATGGAACAGCGTGACAGATGCAGTGACGTACCACTTGGTTAAAGATTTGTGTCCCGTGCGAACAGTAGGAGCGGGATTTAAGAACATGATAAAAACATTGGATCCACGCTACGAGTTTTCCAGCCGCAAGTATTTTTCGAACACCGCCATTCCACGCATGTACGCTGAATGCAAAGTGAGAGTTGCAGAAAATATTCAGAATGCGCAGTCATTTGCTACCACAAGCGATCTCTGGTCCAGCCGCACATCAGAGCCGTATTTGAGCTTAACTATCCACTACATGAGCAACTGGGAGCTACATAGTATTTTGAACAAGTTAATGTTTGCACAATACGTTTGCAATTGACATGTTTGCACTTTAAATATGTTTACGATTATAATTTATGTTAAGTTACTTGAAAAACGAGAAAAACTGATTTTTGTAATTGTTTCTCTCAGGGCTTTTATCATCTCTGGTGTGAGTTTAAAATATAAGCGTGTTAGCACTGTGCTGATTATCCCTAATATGAATAAATGTTTATTTATTCAATGTTTCTCTTCTTTAATACGCAGTTGAAGTTATGCTATTCATGGATAAAAAATCGTGATAAAATCGAAATCGTGATAAAAATATTGGAAAAATCGTGATATTCTATTTTTGCCATATCGCCCAGCTCTAGTGTGACGTAGATCTGTCAGGATTTTCTATCCTAGAGTTTCACCGTTTGTTTTCTATCAGAAGCTAATGCTAATGCTAGGTGTAGGAGACTATATTCATGTTCAGCCTGCGTGAAACCCTCAGAGTGACCCGTTAGAATCAGAAATA